ATGCACAGGATTTGTGCTTCTGATTAATGTCATCCCGGATATGCCATGAATGTTTCTTCTTCATTATGTTGTTTTAGGACTTTACAGAAACCGATGTATTTAATGTGAAATTATATCAATCACCTAAATTGCATTTAGATGGACTCCAATAAACATTTAATTTTTTATATTTAATATTTTTTCCACTTACATTATGGAGTTTTTGTGTTGATCTCTGGCAGAAACCCCCATTTAAATCCATTTAAATGTTGTCACACAAAACATATTCTAAGGGGGTGAATACTTTTGAGAGCCACTGTACATCATCAGATGTCATTGTTACCATAATTGATATACAGTAAGCTATGAGTATAAGCATTAGCCATAACAGACTTGACTGTAAATGTCAGAACCAAATGTTTTTAAAATCACTTTCACTATGACTCCACATTGATACTCAAATTTCACCTTAAAACCTCATAGCCCCAAATACTAGCTACAGCCATGTCAGTTGGATCTGTGGATTAAGAAGACTAGAGATTGCCTTGTAATAATCCAAACCAGTTAGGCTACTGATCACCTGATAGACAATACAAGCATATTCTTTAAAAAGGGTTCTAAATTTATAATTTGACATTTTGAACGTCCGACTTGATTTCAGACTTGAAGTATTAACCTCACCAGAAATATGTTATAAACGATTATCCACATATCCTTACGCTTCAGAATTACCATCCTGCTGTAGCGTTCATGTTCAATTCATAATATAACGGTGGTATTTATTTCTATGCAGGGAATGTATCCATACCTTAAAACGATTTCTTGTGCACAGATTGGTTTCTAGGTCACAACTCCAATGAAGAGGACGCGGAGTGTGACTTTACACGAGTGGAGCAGGAGGACAGATGGAGGACTGCTGTAGAGGCAAAGAAATGGATGACGATCAATGTAGAAGAGGACAGAAAATAAGTCACCCAGCATATAAAAACAGACCCAGCGGTCCACAGCAGAAAAGCAGTTGATGCAAAGGACATTGTTGTCTAAACTTAACATCTAGTAATGAACTGTCCATTCTATTCCCAGACAAAAAAAATCACATCTCTGTTACATTTACTCTTATCTTGATACAAATTAAATTAAACTGCTAAACACAATGTCATGTCAACATCAGAGCTCTAATTTTATCATAACCTTTGCTTGTAATTAGTTATATGTGCTACTGTGTCACCATATGCTTTAGATTAAATATAATATATAATAAATAAATATGTGTTCTGAGGGGTAAAGTGACCAAAGAGTATTACCCTGGTTCCAATAAAATAAAGCTTAGACCTGGCTGTTGTCTGTCTGTATATGTACATCTGCTTTATCCCCTTATCCAGATCTTCTATTATCATGTGGGGATAAGCTAAACCAGACTGCCTCAGTGAAAGGTCAGTGTGGACTAAGGCAGGGTGACAGTTTAGGGATTTAGCAATTACACGGAAGGACATGAAGACATATTGTTATCATACATGTTTATGGTCTGGTTACAGTAGATGGGTTAGATCTCGATGAGGAATTCACAGTATATATGTATATGCATACAAAGCAGTACTGCATGGCCTGTCTTTAGAAATGTAGAACGTAGAACTGTTACGTCTGTTCTATTAAATAGATTATTACCAGCCATGACACATACAAATGACACATACAAATACAACATACAAATATGGCACCAACGAAGGTATTTCATGTAGCGATGTCTTGTCCTACAAACACAATCTCAAATCTCTCATTTAAAGATGTGAGGGACTCCTTTAGGCCAACACTTATTTGTTTTCCACTTGAATCCTAAATCCAACCCGGGCTTAGACAAGTGACCTTGAACTGGCAGATTAGCTCACATGGGTCTCTGTCTTTTTGCATTCAACGCAACCTGGAACTAGAGCCTGCAGCCATGGCAACATCATGTTACACGATCTGCAGATGATTGGTTAGACTGAGCCGCTACATGTATTGATGCAGGATTGTTCCGGAACGTTCTCAAATCCTTGGAAATTATTACAGCCAGTCAAATTAGGAAGAGAAAGTCTCATTAACTGGTAGGTACATACGCAATTATTAAACTATGATATATATAACAATAAAGAAATATTGTAAGAATGCTAAGGTGTATACGATGTAGTACATGTAATTCCTTGTACTTGCTATCATACTATATGGTTGTTGTGTCTGGACAGGTAGATCAGATGGAAATATACATGGGGCAGCCACACTCTCCACCCAGAAGAGTAGAGTGAGTGGATTATGGCCAACCACCTGGAGTTTAAAAAACCACATGATGAGGAGGTGTTCTTTGAAAACTACAAGCCACCCTCCCGGGATGCAATCCCCCTCCCCAACTATATTATCTACCTGTTCCTAGCCTCTGTGGTGGCTCTGGTTGCCCTGTACGCCATCATCCGGCACCTCATCAAAGAGCTCATTCATGACCTGGCAGGTACAGATACTGCTGTGTTCCCCCACCACACTGATACTGCTGTGTTCCCACACCACACTGATACTGCTGTGTTCCCACACCACACTGATACTGCTGTGTTCCCACACTGATACTGCTGTGTTCCCACACCACACTGATACTGCTGTGTTCCCACACCACACTGATACTGCTGTGTTCCCACACCACACTGATACTGCTGTGTTCCCACACCACACTGATACTGCTGTGTTCCCACACTGATACTGCTGTGTTCCCACAGTGATACTGCTGTGTTCCCACACTGATACTGCTGTGTTCCCACACTGATACTGCTGTGTTCCCACACTGATACTGCTGTGTTCCCACACTGATACTGATACTGCTGTGTTCCCACAGTGCTGTGTTCCCACACTGATACTGCTGTGTTCCCACACTGATACTGCTGTGTTCCCACACTGATACTGCTGTGTTCCCACACCACACTGATACTGCTGTGTTCCCACACCACACTGATACTGCTGTGTTCCCACACTGATACTGCTGTGTTCCCACACCACACTGCATCATACTGCTGTTTTCCTGTGTTCCCACACTGACACTACTGCTGTGTTCCCACACTGATACTGCTGTGTTCCCACACACTGATACTGATACTGCTGTGTTCCCACACCACACTGATACTGCTGTGTTCCCACACCACACTGATACTGCTGTGTTCCCACACTGACACTGATACTGCTGTGTTCCCACACTGATACTGCTGTGTTCCCACACTGATACTGCTGTGTTCCCACACTGATACTGCTGTGTTCCCACACTGATACTGCTGTGTTCCCACACCACACTGATACTGCTGTGTTCCCACACTGATACTGCTGTGTTCCCACACTGATACTGCTGTGTTCCCACAGTGATACTGCTGTGTTCCCACACCACACTGATACTGCTGTGTTCCCACACCACACTGATACTGCTGTGTTCCCACACTGATACTGCTGTGTTCCCACACTGATACTGCTGTGTTCCCACACCACACTGATACTGCTGTGTTCCCCCACCACACTGATACTGCTGTGTTCCCACACTGATACTGCTGTGTTCCCCCACCACACTGATACTGCTGTGTTCCCACACTGATACTGCTGTGTTCCCACACTGATACTGCTGTGTTCCCACACTGATACTGCTGTGTTCCCACAGTGATACTGCTGTGTTCCCACACCACACTGATACTGCTGTGTTCCCACACCACACTGATACTGCTGTGTTCCCACACTGATACTGCTGTGTTCCCACAGTGATACTGCTGTGTTCCCACACCACACTGATACTGCTGTGTTCCCACACCACACTGATACTGCTGTGTTCCCACACCACACTGATACTGCTGTGTTCCCACACCACACTGATACTGCTGTGTTCCCACACTGATACTGCTGTGTTCCCACACTGATACTGCTGTGTTCCCACACCACACTGATACTGCTGTGTTCCCACACCACACTGATGCTGCTGTGTTCCCACACTGATACTGCTGTGTTCCCACACCACAGTGATACTGCTGTTTGTGTTCTGTGAATCCACTGATGTTTGAGCTTATGGTTAGGTAGTTAGGTTAAGTTAAAATTGCTGATATAGTCTGAATTTCACTGAATTAATGATCTTGATGAATTTACACTTGTGTGTTTTTATTCTTTAATGTGTCATAGTTGTGTCATGTTGTGTCCTGATTTGGTAGACTACCTGTTTGGTGTGCAGCCTGATGAACAGGTGACCAGCCCCTGGGAGTGTAGAGACAAATTCCAGGTGGACTGGTGTCCGGAGACCAGTCCAGAGCTGGAAGCCATGGTCAAGGCAGAGGAGGTTCAATGCCTACTGGAGGGCACCAGGAACATACCAACCATCTGGGTCATCTCAGATGGACGTGAGCCCCAGCCCCCACGCCCTGGCACTGGATCCAGGGTCGCATTTGGCCGAACGTACTAGCCAGAAAAGGAAAGACAGACCCAATCTACTGGAGATGCCAGTGTACACAATATAACGTTGGAAATGCACAAGAAACCGTTAATCAAGTAGAAACGATGTTCTTAGTGCATTACACAATCATGTCCACACGGTGGCGCCACAACATTTGCATTTGAATTGGCTTGTCCTTCGCTGTTCTGTTTCTGTTTAGGATATTCCTTATGACTAAATGCGGTCAAAGTAATACGTTCAGGTCACTGAGCTGTGAGCCGTGTTATAGAATACAGCATACATATATATATATATATATATATATATAGGGGTTAAAGTGGGCCGGAACGGTCCGGAACTGCGTTCCGGCACCTCAGATACATTATTAAATAAATATATTCATTAATATCAATGATATGGTGATGGAAGGCTATTGTAAAAAAAAAAATCGCGTTCACTGTCAAAATGCAGCAAGCCTGGTGTTCCTTTGAATGAGTTTTTCCGCAATCCAAACGTAATATCACCCCGTGGCCCCGCCTTCACTAACACGCTTACCGACGTAATGACGTGAAATTCTAGCTACTACTCGCCTCCGCGGCTGTATGCCTGTTTGGTGCAGTGGTTTGTGCTCTTGGCCGAAGAGCCATAGGTTGCGGGTTCTATTCCCCCTGCCGGTACGGTAAAAATGTCTCTGACTGTCTTTTTCCCTCTTGCATCTCCCCAAATTTGAGGGTTCCCCCACCTGCCAAATCCCACTTTAACCACTGTATATATATATATATATTACTATTATTTTTTCCTGCTTATTACGATACATTATTTATCTGCTCAATAGTTTGTGGCATGATTTCCTTTCAGGCAATAAAAGCTGTTGATGTAATTGATGACACTGTGTAATCTCTCTGCTCCCTGGGCTGTGCACTGCACTTTGACCTCACAGGATATTCATTGTCTCGAATGAGCAATGAACAGCTGAACAGGTTCCACACAACACAAACCTCTCGGGATAATCAAGGATTCATCATGTCTCTCCACAAATATCTACTGATCTGCCTGTTACTAGGTGTTTGTGTTGACCAGGCCCAAGGCAGTCAGCTAAACGGTAAGTTTAAGGGTATTTACTCATATTAGATATTTTAATGCCATGAACTGTATTGAGCAACAGTTCTTGCCATAGTAACAATGACTTGTACCATCCCTGTTTGGTCAGCTGTGAGTATGTAAACCTAGGCAGCAATATTACGTTTGTAATTTAAATGGTGTGGTTTGATATAAACATGGTCTGGTACAAATCAGAATTTTCTGGTAAATGTCTAACTTTTCTTCCCTCTATAGAAGGTTCCAGGATCACTACTGCCAAGGGAGGGACCTTACAGCCTTGGATTGTTGGTCTGTCTGCTGTCGTGGGATTCCTTTTTATTGTCTTCGTCATCCTCGTTGTAAGAAGGGTTTTCCTCAAGAAAGAAAGGTGAGTACCCCAATGGAGGTAGCATGCAGTTACCTGCATACAGTCTTATCGGGTAACTGACGCGTACAAAAAATACGCTTGTTTTGACCAGTTTATCTCATTGCCAAAATATATAGAAACGTTGTCAATTGACTTTGTATGTTTTTTTTTAAACATAAAAATGTCTTATCAATCTAAGTTGTTATTTTGTTAATGTAATGTTTACGAATTCTGAGTAATGTGTACTCTGAAAGCATACATTTCATTTTGTATAACTTCGGCATGCCATAACGGTAAACTACATATTGGACAAGTATTTTTTAAAATACACATCAACTCATTGCACATGTTGTATTCTTGACTTTCAGAGAGGAAGATGGTGGTTGGTATGAGAACAAAGCTATGGATACAGAAGAAGGTGAAAATGCTTCTGAGTTAAAACAGACCAACTTATAGAGACCTCCAACCAAACCATCCTGGGAGGAACACCATCATGTCAACCAGTCAATGTTTATCTTTCAACTTATCCTATCTTTTCTGTGTATATTAAGTTCAATTACGTTTGTTCATTTTTACATGGGATATTTTACTCTCTGTTCTTGTAGAATATCTCTCAAACCTCTCAAAACACATACAAAAACGAATTGCAAAGCATGCCAAAACAAATTGAAACACAAACCAATGTATTATACTGTAATGATGTCGTGGTGATAATGGTAGCAGTATTGATTTTGTCTCAGTAACCAATGCATGAACAACAGAATTACTGTTACAGAAATGATAAATTGTACATTCAGCATTTATCTTACAGAATTAAAAAAAAAATGTAAATAAATTAATAAATAAATGTATGAATTTACCACTAATGTTATTGCTTTGATTGATAATGTTTAAGGACACTGTTTTGGGTAGCACAAAATCCCTGGTGATTTGAGTTATGTGTACTCTCAGTACATTACATTTTATTTGTATATATTGGGCCGACCGAACGGTACACTACATATTGGACAATCTTTTATTTAACTACACACGTTAATTGAAAACCACTGCGTCACAGTTTGCTGCTTCATTGTCAGACCCATATTTGTATATTGGCTGGGAATTTGCCATGCATTTTTAAGCACCATCCTGGTTCCGAGGTAATCAAATATGGTTGCTTTGCCTTATTGCAACCTAGCAATGCATTGTGGGGGCCTGAGTGCTTGTGAGCCCAATGGAGGTGAAAAGCCGAAGAGAGGGTTCCCTCCAACCAGGAAGGATTCTGGCATATATTTTCTCATTGAGCAGACAGTGTTATAAGCACCAGAACGGCATCGGAACTGATACAGAATTTACACTACAAATCTCAACATTGACCGTCCACTGACTGTTTTCATTTTACTGTTATTACTAAAACATCCCAAATTTTTTTACAAGGAAATGTACAATACAATGAAACTAGTTGTCCACTTCCCCCAGTCATGTTTAATCCATGTATTGGGGCCTAATGACATTACACTATTGGAAATTCCAATTGTAAACCTAAGCCAAATTAAGCAGAAATGTTTATCTTTTTTTTTTTTACATAACCCTATTCTCTTGTGGACAGACTATGAATGTTTTTACACTACAATGTTTTTGATGAAAAATATTTGCCAGATTTATATATTTGTGTCATCTATACATCTATACATTTTTTATAGCGTAAATTCTCGCATGTCACTTTCCCAGGTAACATGGGACACGTCTTCTGACAGATTATTCCTGCGGCCCCCTGTGGTTTTAAAACGATGCAGTGTGTATTTAAGTGAAATGAGCAGTGAACAGATTAACAAAATAACAATGTTTGTTCTGTGTTACCAGGCATTAGCGAAGGCAAAATAGGACTTTGTTCCTCTTAGTCATGTGTTTTACAAGCATACTAACCCATGTGTGTCATTGCAGGAGAGATTATTCAAAGATAAGTTATTTTATTCAAAGCCAACTCAAATGTTAACCTATAGGTCAGGAACAGGAACATGAAAGTATACTAAATCCATAAATGTTTCAGGAATATGTTAACCTGTCTCTAAATCATTAAAGAGCCCCAGCAACAGAATAGACTAAGTAAATAGTTTTGCATTAGAATACAACTCCACGCGTATCAAAGTGCCTTACAGTATAAGGTTGACTAGTCCTTTTGAATGGGAGCCTTGACAATATAAATGGTTTAAGCAGAGTGGTGTGTTATTATTGATTCAGGATTCCAACCATACAAATTCACGGGAACAAACATAGATTTGAAAGTCAAGAAATCATTATTTTCATCAAAATCATGGCACCACATTTAATATCATCCCTGCATTTTGTTCTTTGTGCACCCTGCCGCTGACGAGATAACAATGTGTGAGTGTCTCCATTAATGTTTAATGTGATGGGAGAATACATAGGAAGGGATTTAACACCCTTCTATCACGCCAGAGGCTGTCTCCTTCAAATACCTTGGCCCTTGTGGACTCTCCTGTTCTGCTCATCTTACCGGGGTTCAATGGAAATTTGGTCTGAGAACTGCGGTCAGGGCCGGCCCTGACCAATATGGTGCCCTAGGCAAGACTTTTTAGCTGGTGCCCCCTTGTAACGCAGCCAATTGGTATTTGTATTTTTTACTCGGTTGGGGCCTCTATGGATGAACGGCGCCTCTAGCATTTGCCTATTCCGCCTATGCAGCGGGCCGGCCCCTGACTGTGTTTGCCTTCATGTAAATATGGATGAATGCTTTGGGTTGTTGACCTGCTGGAACATCCAAAGACAGCCCTACTTTAGGCTCCTGGCAGAGGCAGACAGGTTTTTGCCAGAAATCTCCTGGTACTTCATTGGAGTCCATGTGAATTCTAACATGTTTCCCAGGGTCTTTGGAAGTCAAACAGCCCACGATATCACAGATCCATCTTCACAGTGAGGACTACGTTATTGTTTCCCACGGCGGTGGCTCTTGTTACACCAAACCCAAAAGGGATTTTCAGCTGAAACACTGTTAAAACACACACAAGACTCAACTTTCTTTTATTGTTAAATTCACTATTACTTTATTTATTTAATTGATTTCTCTGTGGAAAAAAGTGGCAGAAATCTTTCTATTATTCTCCAGACAGCTCATAGCACTCCAATGGTCAGAAAGAACACAGGAGACAGCCTGAAATAGAAGTGTTCACAAATAAACCCATGTAGAGCCACATATAATCCAGGTGTCCATCTAAAACTTTGACTGGACACGAGTTGGGCTGGCTCTCAACCACAAAGCATGAGGGGAAGTCTGTGCAATCCAGAACTTGTGGCTGGGATGTATTACCCATGTCAACAAAGATGGGGGGGGGGGGGTTACATGTCTGCTCTCATTTAAACCTCTGTGTCTAACGAAGAGAAACAGTGCCCACAGCTCTGAAACGTTCAAAACATTGTCGAAGAGAACTTTCTGTTCTGGCTTGAAATTGAGTGCTTCCTTCGTGGTTAAGAAAAAGTTAACATAAACATTGCTTAATGTTTTTCCTCCTTGAGTTTTCAATGCTGGCTTGGCCTATTAGCAACAACAAACATGATTTTAGAGGGAGATTATGTAATTACCTGTCAAATTCCAATTTTTAGAAGATGACAGTATTGTAGGCTGTCAAACATGATATGTGTGCACAATATGTTTTCTGAAATATGGACTAATGTGGCAGTTGTCAGGGCCTTCAAGCACACTCTATGGTGGCCCTAGGGCAAGACAGCCTTGTAGTTGATCTTTGTTCAATGTTCTCTCCCAAATTAGTGGCAGCTTCTCTCCGTGATGCCCAATTTGGGGACTCAATTTAAGTTGTGTCACGGCAGTGTGAGTTGTGTAGATGGGAAGGAACGCAGGAACGAATAATTGTTGTGGTTGTTTAATTTGGCCACTCTCTTTAGGCAAAGCCTTTCAACATAGCACACACAGGTGCTAGTTATTACAAAACAATAATCAATAATCCCTTACTTCACAAAAGGAAATATTTAAAAAAGGTCTCAGAAGCTCACAAAAACAACGAGAAACGTAGAACAAATCCACACAAAGATATGACCAAAAACACAGAGAACACTCTTACTAATGAGGGAATGGGCACCTGGTGTGCGTAATGACGAGACAAGACAACAATGTGATGGGAGGAACAGTGGAGCTAGACGACCGGTGAAGATGAACGCCTAAGCCTGCCTGCTGATGGCGGCAGAATGGCATCGGAGGGAGCTGTTACAAGTTGA